AGTCCAATTCTCTCTAAGACTTTGAACATAAATGCATGCTGAATTTTGTCAAAAGCCTTTTCTGCATCTATTGAGATGACAATGTGGTTTTTGTCTTTAAGTCCATTTATATGATTAATGATGTTTATTGATTTGCATATGTTGAACCATCCCTGAATCTCTGGGATAAAGCCTACTTAATCATGTCTGTATGTGGTTTGCAAATATTTTGTTGAGAATTTTTGCATCTATGTTTATTAAGGATATGGGTCTATAGTTTCCTTTTTTGGTTGTGTCTTTACCTGGTTTGTGTATTAGAGTGATGCTGGCTTCATAGAAGGAATTTGGGAGTTCTTCCTATATTTCTATCATTTTGAATAATTTAAGTAGTATTGGTTGGAGGTCTTCTTTAAATATCTGGCAGAATTCTGTCGTAAATCCATCTGGGCCTGGGCTTTTTTAATTGGGAGTCTTTGTATTAATGTTTCAGTTTCCTTATATGTTATGGGTCTGTTTAAACTGTTGATCTCTTCTTGGTTTAAATTTGGTGTCACCCATGATTTCAGATATCCATTCATTTCTTTTAGATTTTCAGATTTATTAATGTATAGGTTTTAAAAAATATTCCCTTATAATGATCTGGATCTTTTTGGTGTCTGTTTTGTTGTTTCCCATTTCATCTCTGATTTTGTTTATTTGAATTTGCTCTTTTTTTTCTTTTGGTTAACTGAGCTAAGGGTCTGTCTATCTTGTTTAGCTTTTCAAAGAACAAGCTCTTAGATTCATTGACTTTTTGTACTTTTTTCTTTGTTTCTACTTCATTAATTTCTGCTCTGATTTTTGTTATTTCTTCTCTTCTGCTGGGTTTAGGTTTCATTTGTTCTTGCCTTTCCTGTGCCTTGAGTTTCAGTGTTAGGTTATTTATTTGGACTCTTTCTAATTTTTTTTTAATATAGGCACCTAGAGCTATAAACTTCCCTCTTAGGACTGCTTTCAATGTGTCCCAGAGGTTGTGTTGTGTTTTATTGTCCTTTTCATTGAATTCCAGGAATTCTTTTATTTCTTTCCTAATTTCTTCTTTCACCGACTCCTTCTTTAGGAGTGTGTTGTTTTATTATCACACGTTTGTGTGGTGCCTAGGGCTTTGTCCAGTGTTTGAGCTTTATTGCATTGTGGTCCGATGGAATGCATGGAAATGTTTCAATTTTTTGTATTTGTTGATGTTTGTTTTGTCGCCCACTATATGGTCAATTTTTTTAAAAAAGTTCCATGGGGTGCTGAGTAGAAAGTTCATTCTTTGGTGCTTGGGTGGAATATTCAAAAGATATCTGTTAGGTCCATTTGATGTATGGTATCATTTAATTCAGACATCTCTCTGTTTATTTTTTGTCCAGTTGATCTGTCTAATGGAGAAAGTGGGGTACTGACATCCCCTACTATTACTGAGTTGGGGTTAATGTGTGTCTTAAAGTCCTGTAGTATTGTTTTCATGAATTTGGGTGCACCAGAGTTTGGTGCATATATGTTAAGGACTGTAATATCTTCTTGGTTAACTGTTCATTTGAACAGAATGAAGTGACCCTCCTTATCTCTTCTGATTAGTTTTACTTTGAAGTTTATTTTGTCAGATATTAGAATTGCCACCCCTGATTATTTCATAGTGCCATTTGCTTAGATTATTCTTTTCCATCCTTTTACTTTGAGTTAGTGCCTGTCCTTGAAAATGAGATGAATTTCTTGCACACAGCAAAGAGATGGATTTTGTTTCTTAGACCATTCACTTGGCCTTTGTCTTTTCACTGTGGAGTTCAGTCCATTGATATCTGAGGTTATTATTGAAAGATGTGTATTGTTTGGCATCATTTTGATTTCTGTTTTTGTTTTCTGTCTAATTTTGTGTTTCCTGGATTATACCTTTATTTATTTTCTTTTGTTGACCCTAGGGTATAGTTGTTTCCCGCTCTGCTCTCTGATTTTCTTCAAATATTCTTTGAAGGGCTAGTTTTGTGGACATGTATTCTTTCAGCTTATTTGTGTCATGGAAGGCTTTCCTTTCCCCCCTTCAACTATAATAGATATTTTCTCTGGGTAAAGTATTCTGGGTTGACATATATTTTCATGTAGAACTGGAAATACTTTAGCCCTAACTCTTCTGGCTTTCATAGTTTGCATTGATAAGTCAGCTGTAATTCTGACTGGCTTTCCTTTGTATGTGGCTTTTTTTCTTTTACTGCTTTCAGTATTCTCTCTTTTTTCAGTACATTTAGTGTTTATACTATGATATGTCATGGGGAGTTTCTTCTCTGATCCTGTCTATTTGGTGTTCCATATGCTTCTTGTATTTGGGAAAATTCTCTTATACAATCCTGTTAAAAGGTGATCAATAACATTAACCTGAAAGTCTTCTCCTTCTGCTATTCCTGTGATCTGTAGATTTGGTCTTTTCATGGTGTCCCACAACTCTTGCATATTCTATTCCTAAGATTTAAAAATTTTTCCATAATCTTTGCTTGAATTGTCCAATTCTTCAGTGTTATCCTCCAGTGTTGATACTCTGTTTTCCATTTCATTCATTCTAGCAATGAGGCTTTTTCCTGTTTTTTCAAGTTGGCTTATTGAGTTTTGCACTTCCTTCTTCATTTCTGCCTGAGTTTTTGTCAATGTTTTTATCTCTTTTGTGAATTCATTAAGAAGTTTATCCCTATCTTCTTTTAGCTACTTGATTTGTTTGTTCGTGTGTTCTTTAAATTTATTGATTCCTTGATCATGTTTATGATTTTTCTTTTATAATCAGTGTCCTGGGTTATCTCTAGGGCATTCTCCTTGTAAACTTCTTCTATAGGATTGGTGAAATTTGGTGGGGACATAGTGTTTTGGCTTTCCATTTTATTTTTCTTTCATTGTGATTTTGGCATGTGAATTTCTTTTGTTGTTTCTGATTCTGATATGAGAATTAATTTGAAGTATGTTTCTGTTTGTATTATCCGAGTGCCTAGATCCTTTCTTTATTGGTTATATAAAGGTAGCTGGTACAGAGTTCAGGTTCTCTCAGGTTTAATTTGTTTGGGAACTGATGGCTTCAGATCAGCTATTCAGGGGTATGCACAGAAGCCCAACTCAGGTTGCAGTCAGGTACACTTAGGCTTCCTTCACCACGTGGAGGCAGGATCCAGGGGCTCTCAGGCAGTCCCCTGCTTTCTCAGCTCCTCTGCCAGAGGGAGGCCAGATGGAGCCCAGAACTCAGCAATCTCTGGATGTCTGCTGACTTCAGAATGCTACACCCATGGTAGGGGGATGGGTATGGCGCAATTAGGCCAATTATGGCTCACCACCACGTGAAGGCCAGATCCGGGGGCTCTCAGGCAGTCCCCTGTGTTCTCAGGTCCTCTGCCTGACAGGGGCCAGAGGGAGGACAGAAAGAACTCCGCTCTCTCTGGCGGTCTGCTGAGATCAGACTGTTGATGTTATCTTTTAAAAGAGCACTAGATATATGAAATAATCCTACTCTTTTGGAAATAATTGCTCCTTAAATCTGAACTTTAGAGATGTTATGATTTAAATATGTTCTATTAAATATTTCCTATTAAAATATATTCATATATTAAAAGTGTCATCTATTATATGTCAATGTTTGGAGGTAGTTGTGATTATAAATGATAAGGTAATGTATTGCTATCCTTATAAATGGATTGATTTTGATCTCACAAATGCTTCATTCATTACCGTGAAAACAAGCTGTTATCAACCATAAAAGCAGGCCAAAGATAAGAAAGAATTTGAAAGATGATAGTTATATGCATGTATGAAAATGTCATAGTTATTTTCTATAAAGTACACTAATGAAAATTTGTTGTTTTCTGTATGTAATTTCTGCTTGTCCTTATACTTTCCTAAAAGGTTAAACTGCCAGTCTGTCTGTCTGTCTCTCTTTTTCTTTCCTTCCTTCCTTCCTTCCTTCCTTCCTTCCTTCCTTCCTTCCTTCCTTCCTTCCTTCCTTCTCTTCCTTCTCTTCCTTCCTTTCTTACTTTCTCTTTCTCTTTCCTTCCTTCCTTCCTTCATTCCTTCTTTCTCTCTTTCTTTCTTTCTTTCTTTCTTTCTTTCTTTCTTTCTTTCATTGTTTGTTATGTATATGACCTTTTTGCCTGCATATTTGAAAGTTCATCTGTGTCCTGCAATGCGTGCATAGACCACGAGAGGGAGCCAGAGACAGTGTACCTGAGTTATAGAAGATTGTTAGGCCCATGGTTATTAACCTTGAGGGTGCTGAGAACCAAACCTCCTTTCCTGTAAGAAGAGCCAGTGCTCTTTACCACTGAGTCATCTCTTCAGTGTCCCAGGCTCTATCTATACAGACTTTTATTCCTTAAAATTTCCCAGTCTTAGAAGCTCTCTTATTGTAAGGGGAAATTCAACAAATGGAGTTATTATAAACTGGCATATTTCCTATGTCAGTGCTTCAGTGTAGCAGAGTTGAGAGCAATAGCTGCATATCACTGTTCAGTTCCTTTCAGAAAACACATTTCGTTGCTCTTGTCCCTGCCCTATTTGAAAAACAAGATTTCCCTGAAGAGATTTCAGGGAAAATGAATATCCAGTTTTAAAGTTGCTCCCATAAAGTGGAAGTCACTATTAAGCGTTAAGTCTGCCAGTCCGGTGTGGTTGCCCATGCCTTTAGTCCCAGCACTTAGGAGGCAGAAGCAGGCAGATCTCTGCGAGTTCAAGGCCAACCTGGTCTACATAGTGAGTTCCAGGACAGCTGGGGCTAGAGGGAGACCCTGTGTCAAAAAGACCAAAAAAAAAAAAAAAAAAAAGAGGTAAGTCTGCCTAACTAAAGAACTATAATCCATAACATAAGAAGGAAAATGAGGTCAGAAAATCACATATCTACCCTACTTATGAAAATCACTTCAGATCCACTTACTTAACATGGTTTTAACAGCATCCTCATAAGAGGCCATTAGGAATATATCTTCTTTTTGAAATGAAGGTATTTTCCAAATTAATTAATGTGTTTCTTTTACCTTTAGCTGCATCCATACCTCCGACTGCATAAAGTGCCCCCACAGTTGATTTTCTAGGCTTCGTACGAGGGCTTTGCAACATGGATCTTCTCTCAGGCAAGAGATGATACTTCATAGCTTCCATGAGTAGCTTCTGACACTCAAGATCACCAGTGAACATGGAACTGTTTTCAAGATCTGCAAGTAACTGGAAAGCAATAATATATGGCACATACTTCAGGATTCCAATATTAGAACCTGACTTGTTTTATATTATACAAAGGACTGAGTATCAAACAAACCACTTCAAAAAATTATAAAAGTCTTCAAAGAGATTGACTTCATCCATTCAAAATGATCATCTCCTAATCTACTATATGTTGCTAATACAAAGAGTTGACATTTTGGTGGATTTGAGATAATGAAGCATTCATGGAAACACACTCTGTAAAAAGAGTATCTTCCATGGGGGACTGAATCTTTACCTTCACATCACAGTCATATTGTGAAAACATGTGCTTCTTAAGTGAGTAACTAAGCAAAGATCACTGGTAAGTCCTATTATTACCTGACAAAAATAGTATCCCATTGATGAAATATATGTAAACTACTGCTCCCAAGATGAGTTGGAAAGAGTCAAGAATATATTTTTAGAATGAAGTTAGGTATTACATTATATACATTTCTTTCTAGTTTTGGGTCCACACTATAATGGAAAGTCAAAAAGATTAGTAAACATGCTTACAGGAATAAAAGTACTAATCTGATCTTACAAGGTTTCTCTGATATTTCCTTCTATGCTCTGGATAACCTCAATTTTCTTTTTATTCCACATACAGTCTCTGCTGAATCACTATTTTGACTTGATTAATGAAACTGCTGAATCACTATTTTGACTTGATTAATGAAACTGCAGACCTTTTCTTAACATATGGTATTTGACATAGGTTTGAAGAATAAAATATGCAACCATTTTCTAAACCTACTTTTCACAGCTTCATCAACATCGTCTTCATATATTTAATATCTGTAAGTTGTTTAAAAATTATTAACTTGTATTAGAAAGCTGGTATACACATGTCATTGCTTATTACTAGCATCATCAGGAACTTTTTCAGGATTCATATTTTAGGCATATGGCATTATTAGAGGTGAGAGAACAAAAGCTACATGTTTACTCAGGTCTGACATTTTCTTCATTCCAATGAAGAGAAGCTTAAAATAAGTCTGTTACCAAAAAATATCAATATTGCCAGTTCTGAAATAATATCATTTCTTGGATTCCTGTATCTCTAAAAACAGCTGATGGATTGATTAAATCAAGTGTTCTTTGATGAACTGATTAAATCAAGTGTTCCTAAGCATGAACCAAACAGTGATTCCTTGGTTTAGACCAGGGTTTCAGAAATTGGATTCTATAAAGTTAAGAAAGAGTGTCATGCTGCTGTACTGGAAGCATCTTATACAATACCAAATTACAAAATCTCATAAATTGCCTAGACCCCCAGGTTCTCAGGAGCATGAACTTTTACATATTCTGCCTGGGTGTGGTGGCACACAACTCTAATCCCAGCATTAAGGAGGAAGAGGCAGGGGGATCTCTGTGAGTTCAGGGCCACCCTGGTCTACACCATGAGTTTCAGGACAGTGAAAGTTTGTCTCAAAAACAAACTCCAAAATGTATATATTCTGAGGTTCGGCTACTCTACATTTAGAATGCTGGGAGTATCATATGTATAAATAAACATTGAGGAATTAAGTGTTATTGATGTCATGCCCTTTGTAGAAACAGTA